CGAGCCCCGGATGGGGAGGACTGGGCTGGCTCTGCGGCCTCCTCGGGGTGGAAGCTCTCCTGCAGCCCCCCGATTGACCCCCCCCGGATGGTAGCCTGCGGCAAGTGCAGCCGGTCTGATGGCCGAGTGCTGTGATGTGCCGAGTGTGGGCACTCAGGGCACTCCAAGCCAGGACTGCTTTGCAAGCAGGGAACCCTGAGAACTGTCTGTCCGGGGTGGGGGTCGGGTCCCTTTAAGCACAGCCCTCCACTAGCCTGAGACAGCAGCTCCACGCTCTAAGTCCTAATCTGATGCCCTGCCTGGCACTGCTTCCGGCCAGCCTTAACCCCGGTTCAGGGTCCACTTAATGTGGACATGCTAGTTCGAATTAGCAAAATGCTAATTCGAACTAGTTTTTAGGTCTAGATGCGTTAGTTCGAATTAGCTTAGTTCGAATTAACTAATTCAAATTAAGTTAGTTTGAATTAGTGCTGTAGTGTCGACATACCCCTAGAGCTGCTTTGTTACCTTTTTTATCATAAGGTTAAAGCACGGGTTTTGAAACTGATTTTCATACTAGACTGGACAGAGCACAGAAGATATGATAGGAAACAAATCTACAGTAGTTGGAATAAGGGATGTAGAAGATGATCTACTAGGTCCTTCTCATCTTTAGGATTTTTTGGCTTACTATGCATGGTTCAAATATATCAGCATCTGTTTTAGGATCTGATTCAGTGATGATGAGGATAACTCAAAGCAACTTGTATTTTGCTGCTCAGTGGAATTTTAAAAAAAGTCTTGTGTTGTCTGTATAGATATCAATATCAATAATATATCATTGTCCCATTATACCTTACCTTTCTTTTGCAGTCCCAAAAAGTTCAGATGAACAAGGACATGACACTTGCCAGCAACCGAAGTTTGGCTGAAAGTAATCTTTTATACCAACCAAAATTGGACTCTCTGAAAGCAAGTTTGACCCAAAAATATCAGGAGCTGCAGGTTCTTTTTGAAGCATATCAGATCAAGAAAACCAAACTAGGTAACATGTTCTTGTGGTGTTATATCTCCTATTTTCCCGTCTTTTCTCTTTAATCTAAAATATGGATAAATATACCCTCCTTTCTGATGCATGTCCCTGATTTTTAGCTGTGTGCATATCAAATATTGACTCAAAGAACTGAAGTGTCAGAACAGTAATGTTCAGATTATAGATCATTCTATAGTAGTAATTATTATTTGTACAGTAAAACTCCATTGGTCCGGCATCTGATGGTCCGGCACTCCTGATGGTCCGGCACCATCAGGAACCCAGAAGTGCTCTGGGCAGCCGGACCATTGGAGCTACTCTGCCCCTGGCTTCCCTGATTCAGCTGCTGCCGAAACTGACCAGCGGGCGAAACGGGGGAGGCAGGGGG